TGTACTGAGCCCTCTCCTGTACTCACTCTACACCTACGACTGCACAGCCACTAACAGCTCCAACATCATTGTGAAGTTTGCGGACGACACTACAGTGGTGGGTCTTATCACCAACGGTGATGAGACGGCTTACAGGGAGGAGGTCAGCGCCCTGACCCACTGGTGTCAAGACAACCATCTCACCCTCAACGTCGCAAAGACAAAGGAGTTGATAGTGGACTTCCGGAGGTGCAGAGAAGTACACACCCCCATCACCATCAACGGCGCTGCTGTGGAGAGAGTGAGCAGCTTCCGGTTCCTTGGAGTACATCTGGCTGAGGATCTTACGTGGTCAGTACACACAAACAAAACAGTGAAGAAGGCGCAGCAGCGCCTCTTCTTTCTCAGGAGACTGAAAAGATTCGGCATGAGCCCCCGCATCCTCAGGACCTTCTATCACTGTGCCATTGAGAGCATCCTCACTGGATGCATCACCACCTGGTATGGCAACAGCACCGCCTACAACTGCAAAGCTCTCCAGCGAGTAGTGCGGTGCTCTGAACGGATAATTGGAGGTGAGCTTCCCTCCCTCCAAGACATCTACAGGAAGCGGTGCCTGAGGAAAGCGGGGAGGATCATCAAGGACTCCAGTCACCCCAGCCATAAACTGTTCAGACTACTTCCATCAGGAAGGAGGTTCTGCAGCATCCGGTCCCGTACCAGCAGACTGAGAGACAGCTTCTTCCATCAGGCCATCAGACTGCTGAACACGTCATAGACACCTCAGCTTCACTACTGGAACTTCAACATTATGCACTCCACACTGTATATAAATGCCACTTGTTTTGCACATATTCAACTCTGTATATTTTATATATTTTATAATTATTATTATTATTTTTTTTTTTTTACTATTTAATTTGTAAAAATGTGTATACACACACACACACACACACACACACACACACGTAGGACAATATTTAGTATACACATCCAGAAATGCATACACTATTATATATTGTACATATATTTATTAGTTTCAGGTTGGCCATTCTTGTATTTTGCTCGTTTGTGTTGTTGTGTTTGCACATCTCTGTTGCTTGTGGGGCTCGCACACAAGAATTTCACTCGCATGTGCTGTGCCAGTGTGCCTGCACATGTGATGTGACAATAAAAAGTGATTTGATTTGATTTGATTTGAGTTAGTGTAGCTAGTCAGCTGCCTTCTCTTGCTTAGATGATGGAGATCCCCTGTGGTGGTCAGCCTCCCCCAACACCACCCCTGAACCCACTGCTCCACCCATCCCCTGTAACTGATCCACAAATCACACCCTGCCACATACCCCCATCATCTCCCTCAGGCCAAAGAGCCATGCAACCTAACCTATTACCCACCCCCGCAAGCAGGACAGGAAATCAGCCATGACCATCTGTAGCCCTGGCCTATGGACCACCTTGAACTTAAAAGGCCAGATATCACCGGGGTTCCCCACAGGGAGTTTCTTCACCTGCACGAATGCCACCTGGCTCTGCTCTGTCCACCGGACCAGATCTGGGGCACCATTTCAGCTGAGGGCAGTCAAGGGGCTGGTAAGTGCTGTGAAGTTTTTGGCTTTAGGAGATGGATAGGATGTAATGGCTGTTGTTTTCTTCATATGAGGGTGCACCTGCCCACATCCAAAGAGGGACCCCTGGCACTGTACCTCCCTCCATCCAACCACACACTTCTCGGGTTTGCTAAAATGTGGTTCGACCTCTAAACAAGCTGAACGGAAGTGTGACAAATTGGTACAAACTGTAGGCCGTTCTTTTCCTCAGACATCGGAGACAAGGGAATCTGCCAGTAGCTCTGATTTTCCATGTGCCCTCTAACTGGTTCTGTGTACTACTGTGCAAAATATGTCCCATGGCCAAATGACAGAGATATATAGTTGTTTTTTTCCAGATCAAAGAGACATTTTATTGACTGAATATTTCCTGAAGATAAATCAGCCTGGTCTCTCTTCTAGCAGTTGCAGTTCCTGCTATTTAAAACACACTGGCAGCAAATTAGAACTGAAAATAAAAATCTTTATAAATTTTCTACATCAACAAGTTTATTGTTTCTATGGAGCATATACCACTATTCCACTTAAACTCTGAAACTTTCCTTTCCTTTCTGGGGCGATCGTGGCTCAAGAATTGGCAGTTCGTCTTGTAATCAGAAGGTTGCCGGTTCGAGCCCCGGCTCTGACAGTCTCGGTCGTTGTGTCCTTGGGCAAGACACTTCACCCGTTGCCTACAGAGACTGACGCCAATGCCCGGCAGCCTCGCCTCTGTCAGTGTGCCCCAGGGTGGCTGTGGCTACAATGTAGCTGCCATCACCAGTGGGTGGATGACTGGATGCGTAAAGTGCTTTGGGGTCCTTAGGGACTAGAAAAGCGCTATACAAATACAGGCCGTTTAATATTTCCTGAGACCAGCACACAATCCCAACTTTGTCGCAATGCTCCTATTTGTTTGACCACATGATTCCAGATCTCAGTATTTACATGAACTATTGTTACTAAACTTGGACTGTTTGTCTTATTGTCCATTCATTTACCTAAGCTTAAGTCCAGTACTTCTGTTATATCTGCAAAGATTAGGAGTTAAGCCTCAACCTATGAGGGCACAGGATGAGGCTCGCATGGGATTCATGAAGATCAAAACTAAACACACTCAATGAGTCTTAATGACATCATTCTGTCAATCATCACATGTTTTGGAGAAATCGTCGTGCAAACAAGGAAAGAAAAGTAAAAAGACTGTTAAAGACAGCAGTGTGCTGCTCAGTGTGCTTCAGAAAAATCTCTGTTAACATTTGTGTTGCTCACAACAAACCGATGTATAAGGCAAAGCATGCAGAGGAAGGTTTACTGTAATAACCACACAGCTGTTGTTGGACTCACCTTTGTTTTTTGCTCAAAGATGTGAAACTTTGCACGTGTTTGGTTGACTTTTAAGCTTTCTAGGAGTTTCTCAAGCAAAGCTAGAAGCTGGCATAGAATAAGACTTCTTTTTTTTTTTTTTTTTTATTTGTGTCCCGTTTGGATCTTTAGCATCAGAATTGTTGTCTTGAGGCCAAGAAAGATGCCAAGCGGATTTATTTTACCAAGTGGATCATCATGGCCTTGCCATATTGGTCCATTTGATTGACCTTTATTATAATTATGAATTTATTTTATTTTCAGTTGCTACAAACGGGACAGACGTGACTGGGGGATAGGACAGGGAGAAAGAATGAAAGAAAGAGAGGGAGAGAAAGAAAACCAAAGGGGAGAAGAGACGGTGAGAAGGGGGGAAGAGAGAAAACAAACAAACAAAACACCTGGATCACCTGTATGGAGAAAAAAAAACAGAAGAGAAAGCAAACAAAAAAGAGCAACATAATAAAAAACAGCACCATCACAAGACTTCATTTTTTATAAATTTAAACATATATATTTAAATGAAAAGACTATATGTGTTTTCCTTCTGTTTATCATATTTATGGGCAAATTCAGATCAATCGCATGCATGTTTAAATGATCCTCTGCTGAGCAGCCTCTGAACTATAAAGAAACTTGATTTTATCCTGCTGTGGATTTTGTATCTTGTAACGCTGGCGTGATGTTTTACTGTGAGTCTGGAGTTTTGGTCATAGTGAACCTGCATAACTCCTGCTGTTTGTGAGATACTCGCACCAGAAGCATCAGTGGGAATAAAAAGGAAATGGAAAAACATGTGTAATGTGAATTGAATTGGGTCGCGTCTAATTAATTTTATAGCTTTTCACAGTATGCATGTATTCCTTATGGTGGCACAGTGTGTGTCGGGGGTCTAGTGAGGATGAAGTCGCTGGAGCTAGTGATGAGCGATACCACTGATTTCCTTTCCAATCCGATACCAAGTAAAAATAAGGGTGGTATCGACGATACTGATCCAATACTGATACTTTGTACAAAAACGTATTTTATTTATTTATTTATTGTATCTTTAATTGTATCTCAAATCATTGTGATTACAGGACATCAGATTACTTGTTCTTATCATTTAATAATGCAGAATTCATCATATAGAAATGAAAAAACTGAAGTTGTGCCTATCTGAACACGTTGCCTGCCTGCAGCACTAAAGGACTCCATGAGAGACGTCTGTCTCGCCCTGGCAGCACCTGTCCCTGTCCTCCTCTTCAGTTCGCCTCAGCATACGCTCATCTTATTCTGTGATATGATTTACTGTGAGGTGTTTGACGAGGTCAGCGGTGTTGCCACAACACTTCACTTTCTTGCCACATGTATCACAAACCGCGTCTCGGCTGTTTGTGGAGGTAAAACACGTCCACACATGACTCCGTTTACACTCAGCCAGTGTTGTGAGTGCGCACGCCAGAGGCTGCAACACATTTATGCAGCCGTGTTTCACACATGACTATGAAAGGTGGAAGAGGACGTAGTTCCTTCCAATGCAGACAATCCGAATGTTATAGTTTCTTTCCGCTGTGTTCCTGTTAATGATAAACTACAAATTTACTAAAATATCGATATTTTAATGTGAGAATCGATTCTAGAACATAAATGACTGGTATCAGAGGAATCGATATTTCAGTATTGATCTGCACACCACTAGCTGGAGCACCAAATAACATTTGATGTTGAAAGCAGTGTGTGGCTCTCTCTCTCTCTGCTAATAGGAGTGAATGGAGATCGCCCAGCAGTCTCTGTCTGTCTCACGTTCTCGCAGTAATCATTAGAATAAGATATTTATCTGGTATTGATATATCTATATAATGTTTATTGACTCTTCACAGTCCACATCAAAAATAATAATGAGATATTGAGGATACTGTTTTCCTTCCAAAGCTGTCATTCAGTGCTGACGAGGCCAAATGACTCCGGATAATAAACAGTGAATCCTTGCGCCTGGCTCTACAAGAAGCAGGAACCTAACCCTTGTCTGGTCGTGGTCACGTGGCCTGGGTGTTTTGACCCACGCCTTGAGCAGTGTTTGCCAGATCTGCGCTTCTGACGCTCGTGACAGTGTTAAACGTCTGTTTCGAGGCTGCCGGCCTCATGCCCAGATCAAGGCAGCCAATCCAAGCCTTCAGTTTCTGTACCACGTGATTTTGAAACGCGGAAAAACACCTAAGACCTTTGGTTCCAGTCTCGGAGCGGAGGTCCGGAGATGATGAGGCGGGCCGTGGTGCACGTGTCCGTGGGCTTCCTGCTGTGTGTCGGCCTGGTGAACACCGGCCTGTTCGCGGACGTTGACGTGGACCTGAGTTCCGAACACTACGCGGAGAGGCGGGTCGACGGTCTGCCCGCGTTCTTGGCGATGCCCTGTAACTGCGTGGTCAATGTGGGTTACGTGTGCGTGGGGCTGTACTGGCTGCTGTGGCGCGGGGACGACGCTGAGTCGGAGCGCGCCCGCTACCTGAGGCACGTGTTCGCCCTCATGGCCGTCTTTTACGGCCCCGTACAGTGGACGCGCCTGGCCATGCTGCGGCGCGCTCCAGCCGTTCTCGACCAGTGGCTGACTTTACCGATCTTCGCGTGGGTGCCGGTGTGGATCGACTTTATCGAGAGGCGGACCGAATGGCGCGTGTCGCACGCGGCGACGCTCGAGCTCGGCTCCGTTCTCAGCTACGGACTGGCGATCGCACACCGACGCGGCTTCGACACGGCGCTCGCAGGTCACGTGCTCTTTGCGGTGTACAAAGGGGTTGACGTGCAGCGGACGCACGGAGATGTGCGCACGCGCAGACACCTCGTGCTGGCTTTGCTGTCGTGTGCAGGCTTCGTGCTCCTGAAGCTGCTGGATCACCACCTGGCTCAGTACCGCCTGTTCCAGCGCTTCACCGGACACTTCTGGTCCAAAGTGTGCGACGTGCTGCAGTTCCACTACAGCTTCTGCTTCCTGACCAGGCTGACGAGCAGAGCGCGGGCCAAGACTGAGCCGCAGCAGCAGTGACAGCCACGCAGCATCCTCCAGCTGGGAGTTCATTCTGTCTCATTCCACACAAGACCACATCTTCACCTCAGCATAACTCTAGATTCTGTTCAGCTTCAATACTTTAGTTCCACATAAATATTGATTCTCCCTGAGCTACAGGAGCAGCTGCAGCATTCGATGTGCCCCAGCCACGTGGCTCCAGCTCCAATCAGCTGTATCTAATAATAGAAAAATGAGCAGAACGATGCCAGTGGGAGGGCAGAACAAAGAAAACCGCTGCTCTCAGGAAAAGGACCACCAGGATAGCCCCCCAGACTTTTGTGGACTCTTGAGACCAAAGATGACCACTGCAGTGTAGCTGAAGTAAACATGTGACATTAAGCTTCACCACCCCTTAGGGCTGCTCTGCTGGAGGAGGGGTGAAGGATTGCTGCTTACTTACAATGTTCAGTGGTGCACATGTGCAATCTGAGTTAAAATAAAGAAAAGTACACATGTCTGTGTGTTGTTTAGTCTGACTGTGACTTACAGACCATTAGTACCTACTCAGATCGACTCGGCATGGTTCGGCTCAGTTTTCAGGGTTTCCCATTATGTCACAGTATGTGGCACCCCTCCTCACAGGGGCGGATCTACAGGGGCAGCATGTGCCACCCTAGTTTTGCATATGTCAGTGTTGTTCATTAAAATAAGATAGCACCCCCCACCACCACTTAAAATGGTTCAGCCCAGAGCCTTTTCACATCTTACACTGGGGATTGATTGCGTGAGTGTTATTCACCCTCCGGGGGCAGCTATTGGTGTAAATGTACCATGATTTGGCAGCACCTGTGATTTGGTTATTTAGGAAGAGGGGAAAGTTTTGGGACAGTGGCGAGAGAGCGATATCGACAGCGACTTTTGAGTTGTGAGAGATTTGTGACGTTTAGCATGTAGTTAGTGTGTAGTGTAGTCATGAGCTTTGTGTGTCAAAATGTTACACCCCTGAAAACAGGGGAAAAGAATCACGAGAGTGATTATGACTTGCGTCTCTCATGCAGTCGTTTATTGCAGTGAGGAGAACGCGCGAAAGCCCCCTAGTGGAGAATAGAGACACTACTAATCGATCCCAGAAAAGGCTTACTAGCCGATCACTGATGTATAGATTGTATTTCTCTTAAGTAACATGAAAGCCATTAATATAACATGAAAAATAATAAACTCTTAATCATTTTCTTACCATGTTTACATTATTTTCGTCCTTATATCAACAGATATGAATTAGTATTAACTGAACAGTTTTATATGCAGTAGTCCTTATTAGAGATGGACCGATCCGATATTACGTATCGGTCCGATACTGACCTAAATTACTGGATCGGATATCGGAGAAAAATAAAAAATGTAATCCGATCCATTAAATATCATGAAAGTACCTCACAAAACTTGCAACACGGTAACTCGCCTCAGAACGTTAGCACGTCGGAGCAGTATGCATCACGTGATAGAGCAGCTGTGACATGCGGGACCTGTCGGTGGTCTGGATAGCATGTGGAGCTTCGCTAGCAACCTGGCATTTCATCTCCGACAAAGTTATCCCCGAGAGAAGTAAAGCAAGTGTGTAAGTCCATCTCTGAATGTTTGTAAAGCATTCCTGCGTTAAGCTTAACAAGCGACTGCCTCTCGCTCTCCTGCTGCTACTTCAATCGTGAAACTGATCAATGATCAGCTGATCGGCTTTTCTGTCGCGAGTCTGTCTTGTTTGCTTTTGGCCCACTTTGCACCAGAAAGAGGAAACCAGCGGCTGAACAACAGCAGCACGTTTAAGCTTGATCAGCTGTTGTTAGAATTTATTTATTATTAATTTCTACACCAGGATCTTTTTCTACGTAGCTGACGGCTGTAACTGTGCAGGGGCGCATCTAGCAAAGTTTAGCCAGGGGGGCCGATAGGGCATTAACAGGGAAAAGGGGGCACAAAGACATACTTTTCTTTCTTATTCTCATTTAAAATGTCGAGCTTTTAATAAGTAATTATCTGAATCTTACACCCAAAGTTTTAATTTGATGTAAAATGAATAGAAGTCCATTATTGTATATAGTAACTATTAAGTCTAATATATATACCCTAGTAAGCTATAGTACTTTTTCCTTTGGGAAGGTACCATCTGTGCAGTCTGCAATTTTGTTGAAGAAAGATGTTGAATCTATTTAATATTTCTTGAAAAATAATTGATTTCTGTGCATTTTTTTTTCACACTGCATCAAATTAAGGTTGATTACGTCGATTAAGCATCATGAGGTGGAGCGTGAGGGGTGGTTCCCTATTTTTTATTTATTTATTTTTGTTGTTGCTGGGAGTTGGAACCCTATTAGTTAGGTTGCTTAATATTTACGCTAAGTACTCTTTAAAATATCAGAATAGGGAGGATGGTGCAGGTTTAAGTTTATTAGATTGATCAGTATTGCTGAACTATAAATATTTTTTTTTTCATACAGGTATAACAGAATAGCTTTAGTGTAGTTGTTGTTTTAAACTTGAGTATGAACTTATACAAAATGCAGCAAGATATTTAAAAAACAGTTTTGTTGATTAAAAAACACTATATCGGATTCATATCGGTATCGGCAGATATCCAAATTTATGATATCGGTATCGGACATAAAAAAGTGGTATCGTGCCATCTCTAGTCCTTATACCTGTCACAAAAACAATGAGGAAAGCCACCAAAGGCAGACGGCAGTGGAAACACTGGACTGATGCAGCAGCTTTACTCCTGTGCTGTTCTCCTCTGTCTTGTGGCCGACAAACTATTTTTTGCACTGGCACAAATAATTTGTGGGGCACCTTATTGTGACAACTAATTGTTCTCTAATTTTAGTGTTAGTAGTATTTTTAAATAGCTGTACAAAAAAATGCCAGATGTATTATTTTTAGGTAAATGGTTAAATATAACTTTATTTCTAACTTAATCTACAATTTATATTTGCATTTCAAGTTATGAAAATAATTCAATAAACATGTCTGTGGTTTTTACAGTAAAAATAGAACTTTCTCCTACTCGGTTTTTATATTTTTATGTGATTTCAGATCAATTGTGTTAGTACAGTATGTCAATGAAAACATTACTGTAAGTTCAGACGTGAGATTGTGCTGAAAAGAATGATGCCACAGAAGGCACGAGAAGAAAATTTAAAGGTGAAATACAAAGTAGTGAAAAGTGGCCAATGGTACCCTGGACCCCAGAGGTTTAACCTGAAAAGTCAGGTTTCTGTTGATGACAGCGCAGATTTAGAGGTAACTTTGGGTTCCCTCTTGTTCCTCTAGCACAAAGTGCAGTTAGCTGCAACATCTTTCTAAATTCTTCTTTTACTGTCATTTTCTTAAACTGACAGCCCATCAAATACGTGTGTCTACTGTCCATTTTTATAGTTGCATACTATCCTAATAACAGTTCCAAAGTTATTTCTACAGAGAATTTACTGTAAATTAGAAGCTCTATTGTGCCACATCAAACCTACAAAGGCAAAGTCATTCATTACTCTGTTAAAGACTCGTACTGGGAGACATGGTCAGTGCAGTTTAATGTCAGAGAGATATTCCTGAAACTGCTGGATAAACAGACACTCACTCAAGAACGAGTAGCACAGTTGAGGTCATAAAGGGCAGGAAGTTAAACATCACTATACCATCTGACATGCTGGGGAGGGGAACAGAAACAAGGGAATGTCTTCGATCATGCTGTTTAGGACAAGGCTTACAACTTGAAGCACAACAATGGCAACATTTAATGAAATCACTCTAAAATATAAGACATTGTAACAAAAAAGAAACATTGATGAAGCATCCAAAAAGCCCCATGGTGAGTAAAATCCCAGAGAGAGCGCAGCTTTCACACCTGATCAGCGTGCAGCGTGCTTGTATGAGCGAGGCTTGTTGTGTAAAGCACTTTGATTTCTCCTGGAGAGTAGAAAAGTGCTGCATAAGAGTCAGTCCATTTACCATTAAAAGATGTATGGATGTTCTGCTTTGTCATTTCATAGACTTGGTCACTGGTACTTTCTTATTATAAGGATGCTCCTGCTCTGCTCCCATTCTACCTGCTGGCTCTTTAAAACGTGTGGGAAGTTTTGTCTTTGGTTCCAAGATTTCTTCCTTCTGTCTGTCCCCAGAGTTGGAAAAAGAGCAGTGAGATTTGCAGGCCTGCCCTCGTGCAGCATCAAATAAAACTTAATGAGCTAGTCTTACAAAAAGAATTGTACAGATTTATTTAACAAAGCTTGTTTATTTCACAAATTAATAGTAAGACACAGAAACTCAGTATTGATATGGATTAAACCTGCGAGAGCGAGTTACTCACAGCATGCATTACAAAGCGAGCACCTCATTGTTGATGCTGCTTTGTTTGGTGACCCTGTGTTTGGTTGGTGAGTAGGTCTGTAGGCCTTTAGACTGCAGGGTGACTCAGGGGAGAACCACTGATAACGCGTGTTTGCATTAGGACTCCAGCTGCATTTGTTGTTCTGTTTTTACATTTTGTTATCTTTAAAAAGTAACCTCATTGGTTTTTGTGCTGTAATTAGTAATGTGAGTATTTGGTAACAGAAACAGAACTAATGCAAAGTGAAGCTTTTTATTGATGAGAATGCACCATGTAAAACTAAAACACTTTTACATAAGATTGGTTTTAATAATGTGCTTTGTAATCAATCACTGCTCAAAGTCCAGAGCCCCTCAGGTGCTCTTCTAGTTTGTCTTCTGTAACAGAAAAAGCAGTCTTGACTGGACTGATATCCTGGCAGCTTTTATTTCACCAGCATCATGGAGGCTCTTTAAATGTTTGGTGCCACTCTAACCCGGTCTTTCTGTTCCTGAGTGTAATCAGTGCTCTGTGCTTTGTTGTATTAAAACATGACAACATGACAGTGATGGAGTCACAACCTTCAGAGACAGACAGTGTGTGTGTGTGTGTGTGTGTGTGTGTGTGTGTGTGTGTGTGTGTGCTGGTTTGGACACACACTGTGACTGTGAGCACTAATGGCTCTGCAAGGCTTAGTGCTGTGAACTGACAGAGCAGCAGTTTCCTGACTGCAGGGATTTACCCATGCTAGCAGGGCTTTAGGGGTCTGGTTCTCTCACCCTCTCTCTCACACACACACACACAAATATCTATATCCAGTTTGTATTTCCTGAGAAGGCGCCTTGATATTTTCTTGATGTGTCTCTTGCAGTCATGCTCCATTTTAGTTTTGACTGAAAGAAACAGGGGCTGCAAATTGATATGTTTCTTTTTTGGAGTTCCACAGGGTTCAGTGCTAGGACCAATTCTGTTTACATTATACATGCTTCCCTTAGGCAGCATCATTAGAAGACATAGCATACATTTACACTGCTATGCAGATGACACCCAGCTCTATCTGTCCATGAAGCCAGATGACACACACCAATGAGTTAAATTGCAGGAATGTCTTAAAGACATAAAGACCTAGATTGCCTCTAACTTTCTGCTTCTTAATTCAG